ATATATACCTCCTAATATATTTAACTGAACTAAATGGGAAGGAATAAATGAAGGGTGACAAACTCCTTGCATTTTACAGGGCAGGACTATAGATCTGTTCGGCTATAAATCTGCACTATTCTGCAAGACCAGGGAAGAATTACCCCAAAGGTAACTCAGAGAACAGAGATGCCTTCTTAGCTTCAAAACGGGCTACCATCATCTCACTTTCAAGAAGATAGATGACCTCTACCCAAAGTCATTGGGCTGAGCCACCCAACAGGTCTAGTACTGCTACCTGGGACAGGACCTGATCCCAGTGGGTCCTGAAAGGCAGGGCTGCCATAGTAGTGAGTCCGGATGGCCAAACAAGCCAACAGGAATTGTTCTTGAGCATTGAAATCTTATAGCACTTGCCTACTAGGTTTTGGGCTTGCTTGGGACCCACCACCCCATTTTTCTTTAATATTTCTCCCTTCTGGAATATAATTGTCTGTCCTATGCCTGACCTACCATTAATACTCATAAAAGGTTTAATTTCACGGGTTCACAGTTGGAGAGCAATTGTCTCAGAATGAATTGTACCTCAAGTCTCATTCATATTTGATTAAGATGATATTTAAATGAGATGATGCTGAAATGCTTTAAAACTTTGAGCTGTTGGAATAGAATGAATGCCTTTGGCACTGAGAATGACATGAATTGAGGGACAGGGGCAAAATAAAATAAGCTGAATGTATTCCCCAAAAATTCATATGTTGAAACCCTAATCCCAATACGATAGTATTTGGAGGCTGGGCCTTTGGGGAGTAATGATATCATAAGGGCAGAGCCCTCATGAATGGGACTAGTGCCTCTACAACAAGAGGCCAGAGAAGAGGCCAGAGAACTAGCAACCTCTCTTTCCCCTATCTGAGGACACAGCAAGATGGCTGTAAGCCAGAAAGAGGGCCCTCACCAAGAACCCTACCTGCTGGCACCCGATCTCAGACTTCCAAATTCAGACCTGTGAAAAATAAGTGCTTAAACAACCCAGTTTATAGGATTTTGCTATAGCAGCCCACGTGGTCTAAGACAGACTTATTCCAATCAGGCTTTTTCCCCTATATCTCCTCTAAATTTGCTCTAATCTATTTTTTAGTATATTTTTTATTGATTTCAGAGAGGAAGGGAGAGGGAAGAGAGATGAAACATCGATGCTGAAAGAGAATCATTGATCTACTGCCTCCTGCACACCCCACAACCCGGCATATGTCTCTACCAGTTATCAAACCACGACCTCCTGGTTCATAGGTTGATGCTCAGCCACTGAGCAACACTAGCCTGGCTACAATACTATTCTTTATCAAATCAAATCAAAGGAATTACTTAGAAAGTTAAGTAGCCTTACTCTATTAGGTTTCATTGATCCTTCTTTATTGAGATTTTTCCCACAATTTGCTGCTATCTTTACAATTATAGTTATTTTATGCCTTCCTCTTAGTAAAGACTGAGTTTAAAACAAATTCAAATCAAAACCCCCCACTATCATAACACAACACTTTATACATAACAGAAAATGAATATGTGCTTTGTGATCACAATAATGTAAAAATAACCATCGCCAATGAATTCTTGTAGAAAAATTTTATATCAAGCAATCTAAATCTTAAATTAGTTTATATTGCTCCTTTAAAATATCTTTTATTACCTCCAAGTCATTTGTGCTAATAATTCTAGTAAACTGAAATAATAGAATTATTCCAATCCATCCTGAGTACATGCTGTGTTTGAGGGAAGATTTATATTTATAATAATTAAATGTTTAAAACCATTAATGATTACAGTGCAGTTGAGTAAAATGTCCTCCATTTGTGACATCTCAGTCAGAAATATATATCTCATCATTGCTTGACTTTATAAAAATATTATAATTCCTCCTTTATTTTATAATTTAAAATTTAGCAAATAATTCAAATAAATTCATAACAACATGCCCAGCAAAGAAAAATGTTCACAACATTATGGATGTTACAAAGAAAAATATCTAGAAAAATAATAAAATAATGATACTCTTAAAAGGGAATCACTTCCAATACTTTTGAAATCTTTAAATCAGTTTTTAAAACATATCCAACTTTACATAAAAATCATATTAGGGCTATAAAGTAGTGGTACTGTAACACTGGATTGTTTAAGTGAAGTTTAGTTTTACAGTCATCTATTTATATACGTTCCAAATTTATTGTTTGCTTCATTATTAAATCTAATTTATCATTGACAACGATTAGGGGCCCACCTATTTAGGAAGATTGACTTATTTCTCAAAATAAAGTGCACTGACCCACTGATATGGCTCAGCAGTTGAGCACCAACTTATGAACCAGAAGGTCATGGTTCAATTCCCTGTCAGGGTACATGCCTGGGTTGTGGGCTCCATCCCCAGTGTGGGGTGTGCAGAAGACAGCAAATCAATGATTCTCTCTCAACATTGATGTTTCTATCTCTCTACCTGTCTCCCTTCCTCTCTGAAATCAATAAAAATATACTTTTTAAAAAGTGTATGTTCTGAAATACTTCTAAGATGATAGACACTCCGGCAATTAACTAGCTTAATTGAAGTGTAACATATAGAGAAAGTACACTCATCACAAATAAAGACACTAAAATAACCAGCACCTTTCAAGAAACAAAATATTGCCAGCACCCAGAAGTTTCCCTCGTACTCTTATCTTCACAATCCCCCACCAAAGAGAATCACTATTCTGACTTCTAACAGAGCATAAACTCTGCTTGTTTTGAACTTACGAAAAGGAATAATACAGGAAGCATTTGAGATCTAACTCCCCGGCGTATGTCATCAGTTTGGCTCTGATAACCTCTGATAAAAATTCTCCATGGGGCTGGACATTTCTTATGTTGATGTGCAGTTGGTGTGATGTGACAAGATGCTGAAGAAACTCACCCAGGACCACCCTGCTCAGCCAGGCAGTGTCAGATACAAGCAGGAGCCCATTGTGCCCACTGGCTCCCTGCTTCCCTTTCCGTGAGCTTGGTTAGTTTCCCTAGGAAGTGCAGGCCTCGTTGCTTTAAGGAGCAGGCCATGACTTTATTTGAGCTTTTTATAAAATCGCCGAGATAGATAAGGGTTGAGACAACCCAGGGAAAGAAAAAAAAACAAAACAAAACAAAAACACAGTTTGTTACTTTTAATTTCAGCTTTTAAATTGGGTTGCTTACTGAGAGTCTGGACATAATGGTTGCTGGTTAAATGAGAGACTGAACTCTCTTTAGTCCCAAAAGAGAAAGGATACTTGCCTCCCCAACCTGAATATATGGAGGAATCACTCTTGGTGCTTCAGAAAGGCCTCTGGAATATTTCAGAGATTTGTTTATATGTTAAATTGCATGTGAAACATTGTAAAATAAGAGATGAAAAACTCCTAGGGTACAAGGGTTATAAATTAGATGAATAGTTGGGGCTATGGGAAACCCAAGACTGTCGCTTGGCTCCTCCTGGCTCCCTGACACCCTTTTATTTATTTATTTATATTTATTTATTTATTTATTTATTTATTTATTTATTGGGGGGGGGGGGCAAGTTGCATCTGTTCATCATCATAGTGCATTTAAGCTGCACTTAGATGAAGGAACTTCTAAGCCAATATTATTGAAAGGAGACATCTTACATTATTGCCAGGGTTTGATTGAACCACTTTAAGAAAATGCCAGGTCCGTAACTGTTGCATTTCATAGCAAGCTCCCAGGGGACAAAGACTTTAAAGATCACTGATTGCCACCTGGAGATTTTGTTTATTGGCAATAACATTTAGTAAAATAACTTAATTATAAGGGGCCTTATCACGCATCTTCCTGGGAATGACCATCTACTCTGTCTACAGGCATCAAATTCTCCTCTGGATAAGAAGTCACTGACACAAGAGGCAGGTAACTATTCCAAGACATCAATAAGGCCTGCATCCTTATAGGTTGATATTGAACTCAAAATCAAATCTGTGTGATTGTCTTTACCTGTCTGCTGTTATTAGTCATAATATTAGTTATACTTGTTTTTTAAGTTTTTCTACATATCGATAATTCAACTATTTATGATTACTGAACACCCGATATAATAAAAGGGTAATATGCAAATTGACCAAATGGTGGAACAGTCCCACAGTGACCATCAGGGGGCAGATGCTCAACACAGGAGCTGACCCCTGGTGGTCAGTGAACTCCCACAGGGGGAGCTCCGCTCAGCCACAAGCCAGGCTGATGGCTGGCAAGAGCAGCAGCAGGTCTCCACACCAGCAGGGAGTCGGCTTAAGCTGTCAGTCAGATATACCCCCCCACAAAGACTCCCAGACTGCGCAGTCCATGCTAAGGACCCTTCCCCCCACACCCAGTGAACTAATGTCATGCACCAGGCCCCTACTGTATAATATAACTATTACTAGTCCTTTCATAGCTTATGTAAATGTTATATTAAATGCTCAATAGAGAAGATGAAAAGGAAGGCAAAACTCAGACCATGATAGTTCACAGGATAGAACGGATCCAGAGTGATTTCTTTTTCTCAATGAAGGACATAAGACCTGACTGCTTTTGATTTACCTCCTTCTCTTTGGGGGAAAAATGTGGCCTCAACTCAGATCGCCAAGTTAAGGTATTGTCCCATCCTGAGTGGTCAACAAGCTGACATAGATACTGAGAATTCTTAGGAAAAAGTGCTCCTAGCACTGTGAGACGACCCTATCCAACCAAAAGGTTGGTCATCGATGCATCCTTCAGATTTCTGAGAAAAAAGGAAGTCTGGGTGAAAAATGGGGTTCTATGGAAAGTTACCTCATAGGTGACCTAATCATAAATTCCTAACTGGGTATATCATGGTAGGTAGTCACACCCCAAGATATAACATTTTAGTAAAAGGCTCATCTAGCAAGCCTTGTCCTTTGTTTCTGTTCATCTAAGTTAATGCCACTTTGAAATGCCTCTTTTCAGACCCTTCCTTCTAAAGCAGTAGTACTCAACTTGTGGGAACGACCCTTTCACTGGGGTCACCTAAGACCATCAGAAAACACAGATATTTACATTACGATTCATAACAATAGCAAAATTACAGATATGAAGTAGCAATGAAAATAATTTTATGGTTGGGGGTTACCACAAAATGAACTGTATTAAAGGGTCACAGCATTAGGAAGATTGAAAACCACTGTTCTAAAGGGTGACCACCTTTAATACAATTTCCTATAACCCAATCCCTGCCTTGCTTTCTCCTACCTCCCTGTAATCTTTCTTATATTCTCTCCTTAATTCCAAATGCCTAAAAGAAGCTGAAAAGCTGTTAGTTATTCTCAGGATCATTTGAGATCTTACTCCCTGGCATGTGTAATCAGTTTGGCTAAAATAAACTCATAAAAATTTTTAAAAAAGAAATTATATATTACATAATAATTTGGACCTAGATTATTCTGACCAATATCATCATATTAAAATGTATCCAAATTACCAGGAAATATACTTTTAATAAATGCTAAAGCAATCCTATAATCACCTGCATTACTATTATTTGAGAATGCTTCATTTTTTAAAAGGTAGGTCCCCAAACCCCAACCTAGTCCTAGAAATCTGAAACTCTGGGAGGAGGGAAGAGATTAAGCCCAAATCTCTAATTTTTATAAACTCATAAAATAATTATTTTGCCTACCAAAGCTTGAGACTCTCCACTAAAAACAATGCCTCTTTTCACTTCCTTAATTCTTAATCTTTACCAAAAAGAACTTTTTAAGAGAGTCATGCCTTTTCTGGCATTATACCAATTTTAACAGTAATTTAGACTCTAAAACTGATCAGTTACATTCTTAATAATTTAATAACCTTAAAAGTCTATTAAAAGTTCTTTTCAAATTCAGTATCTTAGCATCAGATATTTCAAAAGTGTATTATTCTAAAGAGAGTATTATTCTGAAGCCAGTCAGAGAAAGATTAAGTATCACATGATCTCACTCATAAGTGGAATCTAATGAACAACATAAACTGAAGAACACAAATAGACCCAAGAACATAGAAACATTGAACAGACTGTCAAACCCCAGAGGGAAGGCAGGGGAGGAAGAGGAGGGAAAAGATCAACCAATGAACTCAAATGCATATATGCATAATCCATAGAGTTGTGAAGGCCTGGGGGGTGAGGGAGTAGAGGGCAATGGAAGAAAAGGGGAGCATGTGTAATACTTTCAACAACAAAAATATTTTTAGATAAAAATAAAAAAACACAACCTCTGTGAAGTGCAATCAAGCAAAGGGCAATAAAATGAGATATATCTGTAATGGTTTTTTTTTTAAGGTATTATTCTATAGCCTTAAAAATTATAATACAGTAGTCCCTTCTATCTACAGATGTGCTCCAAGACCCCCTAGTGGATTCATGAAACCACAGATAGTTTCAAAGCCCATATATAAATAGAACAATTATAACAATATCCTATATAATAAAAGGCTAATATGCAAATCAACCAAATGGCAGAATGACATGCACTGACCACCATGGGTCAGACGCTCAATGCAGGAGCTTTCCCCGATGGTCACTGAGCTCCCATTGGGGGAGTGCAGCTCAACCAGAAGCCCTGAGCCAGGCTCATGACTGCTGAGTGCAGTGGCGGTGGTGGGAGTCTCTCCCGACTCCTTAGCTACTGCCGGCTTAGGGCCTAAGCCATCAGGCGGACATGCCCTGAAGGCTCCCAGACTGTGAGAGGGTGCAGGCAGGGCTGAAAGACCCCGTTCCCCAGAGTGCATAAATTTCGTGCACTGGGCCTCTAGTACTTGTAAATGTGATCTCTCTCTTAAATATCCTATTGTATTATATTTACCCTTCTTCTGTGATCATGTGAGATAAAATACTTACGTGGTGAGATGAAGTGAAGTGAATGTGGTAGGCATTATGATGTAGTATAAGGCTACCATTAACTTTCTGATGATATGTCAGTCCTGGATCATTGAGCCATGACAATGCTGATGGTTGGATATCAGGCACAATTTCAATGGTTGGTGAAATTTAGTATTTTTGGATGAGGGTTGATCACAGGTATCTAAAACCACAGAAAGTGAAACTGTTGATAAGAGGGCTACTCTATCAGTTTATGGTGTGTTTTTATATTTATCTAAAATTTCCCTTGCTTTTCATTATGTGACTGCATAATTTTTTTAATATATTTTATTGATTTTTTTTACATAGAGGAAGGGAGAGAGATAGAGAGATAGAAACGTCAATGAGAGAGAAACATCGACCAGCTGCCTCTTGCACACCCCCTACCAGGGATGTGCCCGCAACCAACGTACATGCCCTTGACCAGAATCAAACCTGGGACCTTTCAGTCCACAGGCCGACGCTCTATCGCTGAGCCAAACCGGCTTTGGCGTGACTGCATAATTTATGGTTGTCTTAAATCTACATTTAATATAATGACAGTTCCACTATTTAAGAACCATTATTTCAAGTAAAATTAGGATAAAAAACAATGGGTTGTGAACATAGAGGGTATTTTGCTAACTGAAATAAGTCAACAGAGAAAGACAAATACCATGTGATTTCTTTTACATGGCATCTAAAAAAATGAAAAAGAAGAAGAAGAAGACAGAAACAGAATCATGGACACAAAAACAAACTGTTGTCAGGGAGGAAAGGTGTGAGGTAATGAGTAACAAAAGGTAAAGGAGGTTAAGAGGTACAAACTTCCAGTTATAAAATAAATAAGCCATAGAGATGGAATGTATAGCCTAGGGAATATAGTCAATAATATTGTAATAATGTGGTACAGTAACAGATGGTTACTAGACTTATTATGGTGGGCACTTTATAAGGCACATAAATATTGAATCACCATGTTGTACACCTGAAACCAATATAATATTGTATGTCAACTAGACTTTAAATTTTAAAAAGCAGGGAAATATGCAATGAACCAGTGATGAACCTTAACTTTATCTGGGCTAATTGGTATGAAATGTATTTTCTTCATCCTAAAAAATAAAAAAGAAGAAGAGTGGCAAGAGAAAGAAAAATGTTTTTCAAATGTCCTTGATGCTTCAAAAGATATAAGATCTGCTGATGTGTCATGGTCGCTTGCTTGTGGCTAAGATTAGAAGTGTTAAATCACAATTAGATTTAACACATATTATCAGGCTAGGGGAGTCTCTAGGAGCCTTCAATAAAGACAATCTCTCAGCAAGAACTTGTGTAATCAGACAGAGATTTGTACCACTGTCACAGTGAGCATGAGTTTATTTCAGAAGCCTGTATAGGTGCTTCTTCAAGTAAACTAGGGCTTGCTGAATGATCAAGTTTTCAAAGATGACCTTAATCTATTTCTTTTCAAAGATGTTTTTTTTCTCTTTTTTTTCTGAGAGAGAATCTTTCCTCAACATTTATGAACCTAAATATGATTCTTTAGGAATATAAATGTCAGTGCTGGTATTGGGTAAAATAAACTCTAGTTTACACCCAAAAACAAATGGCTCTTCATTGAATGAATTCAAGAGCTTTAAATGTAAACACTCAAGTAGATTTTCTAAAGTTCAAAGAAAATGAAAACCGTTTAGAAATTCTGGATTGTTCAGATAGCACAATTTCCCCCCCACTGGAAGCCATTTAAAATAGCAAAGATAATAAGCAATTACAGTATTTATTTTACACTTGTAAATCTCAACACAGTATTGTGCAATCTTAGTATCACTGGGCAGAAACAATTCTCAAGTTATTCCCTATCTCATTCTCTTGCCTTCAGGCAGTGTGAGAACTTACCTATTCTCAAAGTCTTCAGGGAGAAAGAACACGCTGCAACCAATTATAATAATTTTTTTAAAGTTATTCCTTTCCCTCTAATGTCTAAAGCCATGTCATGCTGTATTCTGTTTTCCTAAATATGAAAGTTCCGTCCTGAATTCTACAATTTAGAGTCAGTATTAAAGAGAAAGGCCCCTTTTCCCCCTCTTGTCTTTTCCTTGAAACACAGAGAAGAAAGAGAATGCCAGCTTAGTCTTCCATTCTCTTGAGGGAGAAAGCTTCTGTACTTCTCTCCACCCTGCTACGGACCAAAAGTGTTTCTCCACCCTGCTCTGTCTTTCTCAAAATGTGCATGTTAAATGCTAACACCCAGTGTGGAAGTATTTGAAGGTAGGACCTCTGGGAGATATTTAGGTCATGATGATGGAGCCCTCATGAAACTCCAGTTGTTGCCCCTTACAACGTGTAAGAACACAGGGAGAAAACACATCGATGAACCAGGAAACAAATCCTCACTGGACACTGAAATCTGCTGACTCCTTGATCTTGAACTTCCCATCCTCTGCAACTGTGAGAAGTAAATTTCTGTGGCTTGTAAGCCACCTTTTTGTTTTGTTAAAGCAGCTGAATGGACTAAGACAGTTGTGAAGGCTACAACTCCTGTTGGGCATATCCCATGAGGTGAGGTTACATTGACTCAAGCAGGCTAACAAGTTCCATTATCTTGCCCTTGCTCTACTTGGCAATTTCACTCCTTCTCCATGACAAGTAGGTCGTGAAGGAAATGACCTTACAAGACCAGCCACATCTGTCCTTCCTCATGTAATATCTTTATCTGCCACTAGGTGTGTAAATCACTTGAATCTGTTACTGAAGGGATCATTATCTTCAAAGTAGTAAGAAGCCTTAAACCTCAAGTCTTGGAATTCTCAATTACAAATATGGAGATAATTCTGTAGATGATAAGTTATAAAGAATAAATGAGATGCTATAAAGTGTAATGTAAATAATAAAGCACTATGAATGCATACCCCCCAAGGAATAATTTCCTTCATCTGTAAAATAATGGGGTTGCACACTGGAGCTTATCACTTGTACTCACATGATAAGGAATATATGCCCAACACATGGCTATACCTGAATGAAAAGAAAACTAGAAAATTTGCTTTTAACTGTGTGGATAATAAGAAGAGGAAGTTATGATTTGGTAGACAGCTCATTTCTCTCTACTAAACTACTACCTCTCCAGTAAGATTTCTTATTGGTCTACCCTCTACACATTTCCCTTGACTTATTATTCCTTTTTTAAAAGTTGACAATTCTGACCAACCCCAAAGTGTAAAAACATAATTATTATGCTCTGCATGCAATCTCACATTAGAATACTTGTACAATAATATTCTCTTTAACTATATCTTCATGCAGATGCATGCACATCCTTCCAATTAATTTTCTATTTATAATTCTTTCTAAAATATAGGAAAGGGAAGTAATCCGCATAGGTGTATTTATAAAGAAGTATAAAAACAAAGTTAGTTAATAAAATGACTTTAGCATAGAAACTCTTCATAATATAACAACTTCATAAAGAAATTTGAAAAACACAACTTAATTTATGCACGTGTTAAGCCTGAATAAAATTCACTCAGTAAATGTTAGCTGTACTTATCTGTATACTACAATAGTAATATTCACTTGTATGAATTGATAATCATTCCCCATTACTGATAAGAGAAAATAATGAAACAAAAATAAATTGGAGCATCAGCTCATACACCAAAAGGATGTGGATTCCAGTCCCAGTTGGGCCACATACGGAGGCAACCTTTCAAAGTTTCTCTCTTGCATCAATGTTTCTCTCTTCCTCTCTCTCTAGAATCAATAAAAATCAGGTGAGGATTTTTTTTAAAGGAAGATAAAGAGATTAATAAGTCTGTCAGAGTGACAAAAATGGTAGAAACAGAGCTATTTAAGGAAGGCTTGTTATATACTAGTAAATCTCATTTTTAAGCCAACTCTTTGATTGTACCAGAACATTAGAACATGATTTAATAAACTGCCAAACCCATGTTTTTTACACTCTTCAGTCTCCTTTAAAAAAAAAAAAAAAGCCTACCAAAATTCTAGCAACATTTCCTAGGACCTGAAACATATGGAGGCACTATAAAATATGATGTCTTATAAAATATGATGTCTTATGATAATACATCAGAGCAATTAGAAAGTGTCTCCCTGTCCAGGAATTAGATCATGATCTGAAGATAAACTATTAAATATTTAAATACATATAAACCTTAACTCTATATAATCACAAATACACAGAATAAAGGTATTATTCAAATGAAAGAGTGCATCAAAATTTTCACTCATACAAAGTATTGTCTATGGTAAAAAACTGTAGAACTTGGTCCATCCACCAGTTTTAAGATACGAGTATGACAACTGAGTCCACTTGAAACATAACCTTCTCCCCTGTGTGTAGATCTTCTCTGTGTGTTCATTCACATGGCCTTCTTATAAGGACACCAATTATTGCATTTGAGGTCTATCCTAATTCAGTATGACCTTATCTTTAATTATATTTTCAATGACCCTGTTTCCAAGAAAGATCACATGCTGATTTCTGGGTGAACATAAATTTTGGAGGAAAACTATTTCAGACATACATACATACATGTATTTATTCTTTTGTTTACTGTAAATGATAGAGGGCAAAATCCTCATCCTTATTCTCAGCATCTAGAACTGTGCTTGGCATATAATAAGTGATCAAAAGATATTTGTTGAACGAATGACTGAAAAGCTATCTTAACACAATTTTGAAAATTATTATCACTCATCCATTCATATATTAAGAATTCTATAGAATTCTATATTAAGAATTCTATGATCACTCATTCATTCACATATTAAGAATTCATATATATTAAGATATATATGAATTCTTAATATTCTTCCTCTAAAAAGGCATAAAGCTAATATTTTAGTATTCAGATCTATAAATGAAGTGTTTTGGAGTTTTGCCTCTCTAACAAAAATTGATCAAATGGTTAGAGGGACAAAAGTATTAATAAAGCAAATCCTGGATTCTAATATTGTAATCATTCTAACTATATTTCTTGCAAAAGCACCAAACATAAGCACAAAGCTTATAACCCAAGACAGCATATCCTTGCATAAAATACCTTTTTTTTTTTTCCAAATTTGAGTGAACGAGTTGTAAAACATACTACTATATGGGTAGCCACATGACAATATTCCTAAAAGTGCAAGAAAAAAATATGCCTTTCTAATAGAAGCAAAAGCTTTTTATACTGACATTTTGAACATGGATCTCTGTGTAGAAGATGAATTCCAAGTTTATTAAGGAATTGGATGCAAACACATACATTAAGGGAAGCAGAATAAAATGCAGCACTGTATATATAGATTTCCAATCAGAACAGAGTCTCTTATCTCTCAGCAGGAAATGTGTGAGATGAATTTCTCACTTAGCCAATTAATTTACACTTTAGTCACCAGTGCTAGGTAGCTTGGCTGACTTAGTGGTCTATCTAAGACTAGAATGAATAATAATAATTCACATTTATAAAGGATTACAGAATATTAATTATTTAATCCACACTATATTGCTGCATGATAATTCAGAATTATTGCACGTGCTTTTTAGGTAGAGAAACTGATCTAAATCAATTAAAGTCCATGCTAAAAGCAGAGTTCCTGGCCTTCAAGTTGGTGATCAGTCCATTTTGCCTTGCCACTCTGGCCCTTGGACTCTGTGATGGGTTAATTAACCTCTCTGGCTTTGAATTTGTCTCTACTATGATGATAATAAGACTAACCTTACAGCAGTATATTGTGCAAATTAATTGACTTTTTTTGGGGGGGGGAAGCACTTTCAGATCTATGAAAGGAAAGTATTGATTGTAAATATCTCAATTGATTTTAAATGATAAATGATCATTTTTCATACCATTTATCAATAGAAATAATGACAGAGATATTGAATAATATATAAAATGATGAAAAAATTTTCCCATCACTCAAGGAAAGAATGCTTGGAAAGCCTACCTCCATTCAGCCAGCCCTGACTCATTCATTGGAAAAGAAGCTATGATTCATTCCTTTCCATAGCTACCCAAGCTAACATGCATTTCCCAGGACAATGAGAATCCTGGCTACTCCTGACGATGTGGTTTCTCACTTATGGTTGTATTTAAATGTGTGTGCAATTTCCCAACTAATAGCGCACTCCTGTGTAATTTGGAGTATCAGTTGTCTAAGAAGATGACACAATTTACTTGATTTATATTTTAGAGTGTCCTGACCAGAACTGCAAAATATTTGCTTAAGCACTAATATCTTATTAAGTGTTATTATAGTTTACTTATAAATAAACAATGTATGAAAACATTTAGTTTTCAATGAGAATGCTATCAACATTATAGATCTCAAAGAATTATTTCATTTGCTCCTACCTTCTTATATGAGTTTTTCTACATAATAGTTCTATAAAATATGTTGACTTGATTCTAAAAAAAAATATATTATTTCATCTTAAAACTACAAATAAATAATATAAGTACTGCTATTTCACACATGAACCCAAAGTTGAAGCTCCAAAGCCATATAAACACCTAGAATTATACGGTGATAAAATGCTGGTGCTTAGTAAAAGAAATGAAATACTAAACCTTAAAATGTGTCTGACCGATGGTTTGTAGCCATCTTCAATCAAAACTCATTGATTTTTTTTTCAAAAACAGAAGCCCCAGTTCCCCTTTGAGTAGCCTCTCCAATGCAGAACTCTTCCCTCAACAGCCAGTCTCCACGTTTTCCCCAGCCAGAAGTATAGACTTAACACAGCACAATCTCTAAAAAGGCATGAATTCCTTAGAAATCAAAAGACAAATTTAGTTCCTGTATTGAACTGGAAATAGCGATAATTAGAATGTGCCAAATAGATTACGCTTCTCTGCTAGTTCACCCCAGAATCCTAAGGACAAATCCTGAAATCCAGATCAACTAGGGTATCCCAGGTTTTGATACCCATCAGGATCCTATTTAATCTAGCCATATCTCCTCTATAATAGCCTCCTGATTACATATTTGTGTGTATGATGTGTGTATATGTGTGTGTGTGTGTGTGTGTGTGTGTGTGTGTGTGTGTGTATCCTACTTCAACCAATTTGGCAAACACATAACTTCCTACCTGAACAACAGAAATGCACTGCATTATAAAACATTGCTTTATCTCTTTCAAGCAGTTATGAATTTTATCACTGCCCGTATTTTATACACTGAGCTACTTTTCTAAGTTGGCTTTCACAAAGGGTTAGATATCATTGTTATGGGCTTTTTTTAATATCACCTTTAAGTAAAGAAACTTCCCTATTCAGAGTCAAGTAGATTAACCAACAAAGAAAAAGAATGGAATTGACTTGAGTTAAGATCATTTTAAGTTACCAACTTTGTGACAATTTGCATCAAATTAGTAAATTAAATTTTTTCGTAATTACTCAAAGTATCTAATGTAACTTAAAAATGTTAGGATGATCATTTTAAATGGGAAATACCTTAAGTTGGCAAGGATGTGTAGAAGCTGGAGCCCTCACTATGTATGCTGATGAAAATATAAAATGGTGCAGCCACTATGAAACACAGAGAAAGCAGGGAACCAAACAGATATGTATACCAATGTTCATAGCAGCATGATTCCCAATAGCCAAAAGATCCCCTGTGTCCACGCCAATATCCGTCAACAGATGACTAGACAAAATGTGGTCTATACATTCAATGAAATATTATTCAGCCATAAAAGGCAATGAAATTCTGACATGTGGATAAATGCTGAACACAGTGTGCTACGTACAATAACTATTCTAAATGAAATAAGTCAGACACAAAAGGACAAAAGTGATACGGTTCCACTAAGATGAGGTCGTCAGGGTCTTAGAATAGGCACATTCATAGAGACCAAAAGCAGAATAGAGGTTTCCAGGGGCTGGGCCGAGGGCAAATGAGAGTTATCATTTATTGGGTATAAGGTTTCTGTTCAGAGATGAAAGGGTTCTTGAAATGGAGTGATGATGGTGTACAACATTGGGAGTATACTTAACTGTCACCAAGCTGTACACTAAAAACAGTTAAAATGATAAATTTTATGTCATGTATATTTTACCATACAAAAAAGCTCAAGGCTAGTAGGAAACATTTTATATTTGTTCAGAATTATTTGTTGCCACTTGACCCATTACGTTTTTCATAGCAACTAGAGATCTTAATTTGTCCCCAACACATTGTATGGTATGTGTGTTTATATATAAAATACAATTTCAGAAAATTGGAAAAAGCACACACAGAATTCTAATTTATTAGATGAGGGAGTAAACATAAAATTTACCTTTGTAATTTCACTGAAGTTTACGGCAAAATATCCTTCTTCGGGTTTATTAAGCTCTAATCATTTTCTTGAAAGATTAGCAGCAATTATCATTAAGGTTTAAGCATTTAACTGTGACTACTGCAATAAATCTTATTAAAATAACTGAAACATACTTTGCTCGCATGTGGCAACCTGTCTCTGAATCACAACCATCTGTACGTGGTGATTGCCTGGTGCACACAGATGGGAGTAAAACAACGATCAGGCTATACCATTCTTTCATCATCGCTTGGTACCAAACAAACTGAAATCTGAGTCAGACTATTTGCATTTGCAAGATTATATGATCGCTGTAATTAACAAATACTCATTGGCTTTCTGATATAAAACATGTGAGGCTACCTGATTGAAAATAACACTTAAACTGTGCAGCGTCTCTTTCTAATTGCTGACAGCCTATAAAAAAATGAGATGTTAACAATAGAGGAGCAGGTTTCAAGTTTTTATAGCACTCAATGCCTTCACAGATTTAAAATGACAGGAGAAAGGGAACAAAATAATTTATTCTTTCTGGCTCACAGCACAGAGTCATGAAGGCTCTCGGTCTGTAACTTCAGGGCCACACTAAATTCCTGTCAGCCCAGCTCAGTGACAAAGGTGAGCCTCTGCCCCCACCTGTTATTCCTAAAGGCAAGAAGAAAAAGGCCCATGTTACTCACAAAGCCCAAATAATTAACTAAGCAAAAAGGAAATCATAAATCAAGATTAAAATCTGTCTAGATGTTAACACATTTTGGCCAAGAAGGCCTACCTCTGCTATATTAATAATCAGACATGAGAGAGGTTTGAGCACTGCATAATGACTCAGCACGGAATCTGGAGTTGGACAAGCCCTGCTTTTAAACATGTGCTATTTACAGAACATGTTTCCAGGCATTTGGAATTACTACACCATTTGGAGCCTCAGTTTTCTCATCTATAAATTAGAGAGAATAAGATATTTTTCTCTTTTCTCTCTCTCTCTCTCTCTCTCTCTCTCTCTCTCTCTCTCTCTCTCTCTTCCTCTACCCCCCTCTGTCATACACACACACACACACACACACACACACACACAGACACTGCATTCCTGTAAGGCCTAAGTGAGATCATGTAAGAAAGAGCTTAGCACAGGGCCACATATTCATTTTTTGTTAAATGAATAAATACTATGACACGGGGTAATGACAGGCTACCCTAACCTAAGTAATTTTGTCTATGAGGTCTTTTTTTTCAATCTTGATTAACTATGAATATCTTTACTTTGCCAAGAGTCCATTAAGCAGTTAAATGTATGACCTAGATGGAGTCAGAGTGTAGAGGCTTAAATCCAACTTCCTCCACCTACTAGATTTGTGACTTTGACAAGTTACTTAACTTCTCTATAAAGCAGGGATAATGGTAATCCTTTCAAAGTTTTGTTGAAAAAAATAAATGGGCAAATATATTTAAGTAGTGTAGAACAGGGCCAGGCACCTAACAGTGTTAATATATATCAACTAGTGGCCCAGTGCACAATGAAAGGAAATTAATTAGAAGATTTGTGTGGTAATTACAGTACTGCAAAAAATTACATGTCAAAATAGTATATATAATATAGTATTATAAAATGGTTTGCTATGATACATATATTTAAAACAAATCAAATTAAAATTTTTAAAAAATACTACTACTGTTATTCATATTAAAAAATAATAAAAGAGCAATAAAAGATAAAAATGAAGAAATGTGTCCTCTATTGAAGATGAACAAATCATTCACATTGAATGTCAACAAAAAAACACCAAATTCAAGATCAACAATGACAGATCAAAACACATATGTGTGACTGGCACCAGCAAGAGCTTTATATGTATCACACATGCGGGAGTAACTATTTATTTTTAAACTAGAGGCCTGGTGCATGAATTTCATGCATGGTTAGGGTCTCTAGGCCTAGACAGCGATCCAGGTTTATCAGGTTCCCTGCCTCCCTGCCTCCCGCCTCCCGCCTCCTCCTGCCCTCACTCCCTCAGTGCCCGGCCCCCACCGCTGCTCTCTGGTGGTCAGTGCACATCGTACTAGTGATCAAACTCTGTTCTCATGGTCAAACTACTGAGGGGACAATTTGCGTATTAGCCTTTTATTATCTAGGATTGCCAGAGTGCGCCATATGTACCACGCACACATAAATAAATGTTATTTTTTTTTAATTTAATGACTTTTATAAATATTTAAAAATTAAATTTAAAGTTAAATGCTATATAGTTTACTTAGAAATATTATCAAATATTAACGTTGACTGTTTTGATTGAATTATAAATGTTTTTGGCTGCATTTTGTGCTGTTAAGATGCTTATCATTCATTAATTCTATACACTTTTCATGTTTTATTTGAAGAGTCACAATTTGATGTTCATTTAATAATCTGACGACGTTGCCCTGCACCATTAATGAGTATATTAGTATCAAATAGTATTGATCTTTTCAATGAGATTGCCAAAAACTGTAAGCAAAAATATCCAATGTGTTGACAGATAGGTGACGTTTTTATAGTAAGCTAACAAATATCAATGTGACTTCACACTTATATTCTCATCTCTTTCACATCTGTAGCAAAAAAGCATGCCCTCCTTTACACTGGTCAGTCAGTCAGACGGGCGGACCCACGTATGATTGGTCACTTAGTCCCTTATATATATAGACTAGTTGCTATATATATAATAAGTGAACTGGTCTCTCGATACACAATGAAGGACATAGTTCTTGATCTTATTGAGCTTACAGATTGCAGGAAGACAGACAATAATAAATACTAATATAAATAATTGCATATTAAAAAGAAGGATATAAGAGAGGGTCGAGTATGGTTAAGGCTTGATATTTGAGCTCGTTATTTTATGTTAGGTTCTTCATCTGAAAAATCTCAAAAATGTTATCTGTATGATGGTGATTGTAGGAAATACACAAGTGTCATAATGTAAAACCTCAAGTAAAAGAAAAACCTCAGTGCATGTTGCTTCTTTCTATCCTTTGTGCCATGGTGTCTGATGGTTAAGTACTTGTCTTTTTAACTGTTTGTCTGAGGAGTATTACTAATATTAGTTTTGCAGGGAAAAGTTTCTTAACCTCAAATGACCTCAATCTTTGAGATGCCAGATGCTGAAGAATATTAAAATTATGTTTAAGACAGTGTTACATTCAAATTAAGATGTATTTTCTGCTAGATTACATTTTTAAGACAGTCATCACATATTATATACACTTGGATATCAAATGACTGCATTTACATTTGAACCAAAATAAAAGATGGTGGTTAATGAAGTTCTAATTCATTGCCTTGAATGTTTTTAGCCTACTGCATCCAAATTATTTGTTTTAAATAACCACCACTAGAAAGGCTAATGCAGTGCAGATGACTCCCCAAATATTTGCAATAGGTCACGTGAACACTGCTGCCACATCTCAACAATTGACTGTAATAGAGTTAAGAGGGAATGATAGGCTGTCGTGACATTTAAATAGATAATATTTCCTATTAAACCTTTTTTTAAAAACCTTGATTAACACCAGAAATATTTCTCACTTTACCAAAGAAACCCTCATTAAGGAAATTTTCACTGAGTTCCGTACAATATGCTCATCTGTGCACCATGAACTTGTTTTTACTCTATATTCAAAGCTGCATGTTTATTTCTCTGTTCTGGTTCAGTTCAAAAAGCCAAAAATATGAAACAGATGTGGTGACTTTCTGTGTAGTGTGAAGCACAATTAGGCTCCTTTGAATTGCTTAGGCTAAACAGTTGCCCTCCCTAGAGTGTATGGAAACGGAGATTCTTTACAGCCAAGAACCCAGCTCGCTACCTGCCAGGAACTGGAACTGGCAGGCCACAGCTGGTCGATTGCAGTGGATGCTCCCTTACTGTTCTCCCAACCCAAGTCCAGGAAACATAAAAAGTATACGGAGAAAACTGCAGCTAAGTGGATACACTGCCTTACCCCTGAGAAGAGGTCCTGCTATCTGACAGTGCATTGCAAGGCCCAATTTATGAGGACATTTTAAAATATTTATTGTTGAAAGTATATGTCTCCTTCTCCCTCATTGACCCCTTCTAGCCCACCCCCAACCCCCTGCCCCCAGGCCTTCAGTACCCTATTGTCTATGTCCATGGGTTATGCATACATGCATATAAGTTTTTGGTTGGTCTCTCCCCACCCACTCTGCTCACCCCCTCCTTCCCTCTGAGATCAACAGTTCTTTTAACAGCACTCAAAGAACATTTGTCCTGCTTTATAGACAGTTTGGGCAATAGCCAAGAGACATCAAGAAAAATCTTCCAAGTTACTTACCAAAGCCATGATGCCTTAAACCTATGGCTACCAGATTAGCTTATGTATCAAAAATGCAAATGTTGATTTTTCTTTTGCTGAGAATAGTTTAAAAACATGTGAAAATTGCTATAATTGAAAGGAAAGCTTGAAACAAATGGTAATTTTGTTCTCAAAAAGGAAAATTTCTTCAGTCTGTGGGAGGTGAGGAAAGGAAGTTTCTTTCTCTTCTAAAATGAGAGAATGCTAAAAATAATAGCATTCATAGAATTCTTCATTGATCTTGTCAGTTTACAACTTCAAAGGAATTTTAAAACAAAAGTTAGCAAGGGACATATTCATATAGGAACATTAGGAACGTTTACAGAGTGCCATACTCATGTGGGTCATACGTTTTACACAAATAAGCAGACCAGAGTCTCTTAAATGGGTTCACTTTTCATCATAGGGAATCATGCATCATCATTCATTCACTGGGCATTCATTGTGTA